AGCATTTTCCTTAAAAAAAAAAACTTTCTAAGCTTTAAATTTTCTTATTTCTCTTAAATAAAATAATTAAATTTGGATTCTTAAAGCTTCCATTTTCCAAATTCTTTTCTTCTGATAAGCTTTTCATAACAAAAGTACCTAATAAAACATTTGCTTTTGTCCTCCTCAGTGAAATGATATATCAAATGCACATGATTTTGTTTTTTTCCATTATTAGTGATACTAAGTGTGATCACTTGGTTAAGGAGATGTCTCCAGTTATCTTCACTGTAAAGTTATTACTAGGATACATTTTCAATATAGAATTAAATGTTGGGATTTGGCTAGGAGAGTTATGAATTAGATGTATTCAGTTTGAGATGCCTGTTGACATTCTAGTAGAGATTGTTTCAGTAACAGGGGGATAGGTAGACTGAAAAGCCTAGTCATCTTTTTCTGTTTCTATTTTCTCAGCGAATATTGAAGTGAGGCTATCAGGTTCAAATCTCAGCATGGCAAAAAACAAGTAAATAAATAAAAAGGAGTAGTGATGAAGGACCACTTGATGATTTGAGGGAAAGAAGTTTTGGAAGGATCTTCTCAGAGTAAACTAATTGGAAAAATGTAATAGGGTTATGGGGAGTATTTTCCAGAGGGATCAGTTGATAACTATGGTCATAAATTGACCCTGTGTTCAATCAGATGTGTTCTGTTTCTTGGAGTTAGGTTTGATTTGTAGAAGAGTGAAGTTTGACCATGGTTAAAGTTTGTCCAACTCACCCTAATGGAGACAGAGGGCATAAGAAGTGTATGAAGAGGAATTATCATGATGGATTATGGAATATAAACTGGTTTAAGTGGATAAGACAGAGGTCAATGGCAGCAAAAAAAAAAGATAGGGAAATGGCTTAAAAGATCCAACCAAGACAGTTTGAGTGAGAATTGTAGAGAAAGATGGGAACTAGGAGATGGTGAATAAAGAGTGGGATAAGTGAAATCACTCACATTCTGGTTTACCACCACGTCAACTTCATGACCTCCATTTTAGACATGGGCAAATTATGTTCATAAAGGTGAAATAACTTTTTTAAAATAAATTTTTATTAGGATATATTCATTGTACAGGGTGGATTCACAATGACAATTCCAATTAGGTTTATATTGTACATTAGTTATGTCATACCCATCATCTCTCCCCCTCAACTCCCTCCCTGCCCCACTTAAATCAATTGCAAAAGTTTTCTTTACTCAATTTCATGAAGTATATGAAGTCCATCAACCATGTACCCTCACCTCACTCCTCCTCCCCCCTCCACATAGTAACCCTCCCCCCGTACCTATTTTATAGTCCTTTGATAATATTTAAGTTAATGTTCAAAGGGGTTTCTCAATGTATCCCCACTGTGGGTATACTTTACTTTGGTCTGTTCAACCCCTTCCATCACTCTCTCTTACCCTTTTACCTCCTCCCACCCCCCATTTTCAACAGCTTTCAATACGTATACTTAAGGATGAAATAACTTAATCAAAGCTATACAGCTGGTAAATTGCAGAGCTTGGATGGAAAAATCAAATATTTGTTTTTAACTTCCCAAACCTTTGTACTGTACTAGTTGCCTCTAATTGCCTGCCTAGCAAGTGTGAGGGCTTAAGTTCAAACCCCAGTGCCAAGAAAAATAAAAGACAATATTTACCTTGTATTTGTGTTACTTACTCCAAGCAGAAGTCATTATATCATGTAAATAAAAAGGAGGGCTCATATTAGAATACATTCCTAATATGAAAAAACTCTCTTACTGCATTTAAAAAATAAGTGGCTTCTAGAATATGATTGAAAACTATTTTTACTTTTATATTTCAAAGTTTTCTATGTGCTAGGGAGCTTTTCTGTTTTCCTACATTTAAAATTATTTGATTATAATTTAATGTTAACATTACTTAACAATAATGATGTTGTAAGGGAAAGGACATTACTTAACAATAATGATGTTGTAAGGGAAAGGACATAAGGTAATTTTGATTATCTCTACTTCAGGAGGTTTCAAGAGAGTTTACTTAGGTAACTTCATGGTGGTAAGGATAATTTTATGGCTCAGTAGAAGGAATTATGGCATTTTAAATGCCACAATTAAACCTAATTAAAATAACAATACTTAGCATACTTTCACAATACTGCAAACAAACAAAACCAAATTGCATGGGTTGTTTTTGTTTTAAATTACATGGAGCCTTTTCTAGCAACAGTTGTAGATATAGAGGCTTGGGTGAAATAGCTGCATAATTCCTGAGTACAGAGATTTTCTTTGTTGTAATTATATTCCTGTGGTGACTCAGACTCACTTAATTTCTAGATTTTATAATTCAAAGGAAAATGTTCCCTTGAACTTTGAAAGCCTGGAAGACTGAAAAGTTATTTTTAAGAAATTATTATTGTTATTACTGCTGCTATAACTACTATTCCTCTAAGGAGTGTTTTACTTAGGTGCTTTTAATTTCATTCATGCTAGCTCGATAATGGGAATGTTCTCATGAGAAAATGATGGGGATCACACCCCAGATACTCAGCACTCAGGATGCTGAATCCATGGATTTCAGCAGCAGATATTTGGGACTTTCACCCTGGTGTTCACCACTTATCCAACTCAGTTTCTCTTAGTTATCTGTTTATTTTTTTCTGCTTCTCTTTCCTTCATAAGCTGAATCTTTTTTTTTTTTTTTTAATTTATCAGTTCATATTCCCAAGAGAAAGAACCTGGCTGGCTGTGCTAATGAACACTGCCTTTATATGGTAGTGTTTCTCTTCCACATCTGGGGAAGTTGTTTCAGACAGGTAACAAGGCTAGGGCACAGTCTTTTGCAAAAATCTGTCTGGTACCTCTGCTATTTGGAGTGGGGCTTGGTTAGCAGGATGTGATGTGGATACTGGAGCAATTGCCGATTTTGCCTGAGGCAGGTCTTTACTAGGCAGCTTTACTATTTTGTCAGAAGTCCTTAGACATTTTTGAAATATGTGACATACCCAAGAAAGAAGTACGACAGATATCCTCTCCACTACCCTCCCTCCCTAAAGATAAGAAGTTTATCTAAGCAAAAGAGATGGAAGCTCCTGTAGAGTAAGAGGGGATGAGATAGATAGGTTGCCCTGTTTAACTCTCTTTGAGTAATATAATGTTCAAGGGAGGACAGGAAGGAGAATCTTGATTATTCAGAGACAAATTTCCTTGCCCAAGGATTGACTTGGGCATGGCCATGTAAGGTAATTATAGCAAAAGAAAATTGAGAAGATGAATGCTAGTAGCATTTTATTTGTGTGAAAAATTGCATACCCTTTTAAAGAAATACAAGGCTTTAAAAAAAAACCCAGAATATTTTAATCTTCACAAGGTGCTTATTTAATAACATGTAAGTTATTAAAGTTTAAGTGCATTGTGGATATTTAATGCCTCCTATATATTTAGTATATCATAAACATTTTTTTTTGGCAGTACTGGAGTTTGAACTCAGGGCCTCATGCTTTCTGTCTAGGTGCTCTTATCACATGAGCCCCTCTGGAGCCCTATCATGAACATTTATTACTTAGGTGCCTCACAAATATTATTTATCTCTTGATCATCCAAGTCCTTCTATCAGTGGGTAATATGATCTTTTTATTTATGAAATAAGAATATCCTGTGAATTCTGCCTATATTTGGGTATACTTAACATGTCTTGAAGGGTTTGCCTATATTTTATAAACCTCAGATTTATTCATCTAACAGAACTGAATATTCACTGCAAATTCACATTACACTTGCCCTGGAATTCCTTACAAGAAGTAAGATGACAAATGTCTTCATTGCTTAAGATACTTTTAGTTGTATTTTCTGCAACTTGTAGTTTAGAGTATCCTTGCTGGTTCCCAAACAAAGTTAGCAGGAAGATGTATTCCAAAGACAGATGAAGCATGGATTAGATGGTAATTAGTTTCCTAAATGGTAGTAGAGACATCAGACACTGCAGCATTTGGTGCCTGCATTAGTGAGTGCTTGCTGCACATTCTGTTTACATTCAAGCAACTGTAGGCATGGTGGGATGATTGGCTATGTGCTCAGAAACTCACTGTTTTATGATTGGAGTGGTTTTGGCTTCATGACCTATAGAGCATTTAAAAATCTTTTTATTTAGTTAGCTCAATGTCTATAAATAGAATAACATTGGGAATTTATAGCTTCTTGTATTCTCTTTTACTTATTAATGATAATTTTATTTATATTTTAGTGCTTTAAAAATTAAAGACTTTTTATGGAAGTTGGGTCTCGAGGCATCTCCATTAAAAGGGAGAATTTTTCACATACATGGAATTGAGAAGTGTATTTAAGATTATGTGAACATTTAAAATTATTCAAGAAGATTGTTGCTTAGAAGTGATTTCAAAAGAAACATTTTAAAATACTGATGGTATATTATTTTTCATTTCTTTTAACTTTCTTTGCCTCATGTTTTGTGTGTGTGTGTGATGGCAACTAGTATTTTACTATATCAAAAATACTACATATAATACGTAAAAAAATGGTAAGATACTGTAACCAATTAAAACTTTTGACAAAATGCTAAAGTAACAAAAGTTAAGAATAAAATGACTTAGTAATAATGCCATGCGAATGGCGGATTCCCAGAACTGATGGCTGAATCTGGTGAATCAGCTGTGCTAGGTGAGGGCCTAACAGGTCCAACGTGGAACCTTTCTAGAAACGCTGGTACTCTCTCCTGTGGGTTCCCCTCTCTTTCTCTCTGTACAGTGTTGATTTTGTTTTAAAACAAATCTGGACTGGAGGACTCTTGAAGCAGATATGTGTGCACTGGATACCAATTTTCATGTTTTATATTTTCAGGGTCCTCTTTATTTAAAAAAAAAATTTTTGTGTTTGTGGTTTCTGGGGTCAAACTCAGGGCCTGAAACATCCTAGGCAGAAGCTTGGCCACTGAACTGCAGCTCCAGCCCCAGGGTCCTCTGTAATCATCATTTCTTTCTGTTATTGCAGTGATCTGCTATCTTCTGATTACGTAGAAAGACACATTGACCAAGGAGGCAAGACTGTGGAAATTCACGTAAGTGAAATTTTCTTTCCTTTAGGAGAAAATTTTAAGAACCTTTTAAATACTACTCCTCATGATTTTAATTTTCATTGGTATTAATAATATGCAGTTTGGAGTGTTTAAAAATATAATTTATTAAGAAAGTTTATCACCTTCTTGTGAAAAAAAAAAAAAACTTTTTTGCTACCAGAAAAAGAATTCTTCCACTATAGGAATTGGTGGACTTACGCTTTGAAGATTTATATAGCTGCAAGTAATTCTTCTTTAGATTATGTCACATAAAATAATTTCTTCAGGTTTTAATGCTAGCACTGAGAATGAAGAGGTAGAATCTTGAGCCCAGGGTAGCGTATGGCTTTGCATTTGTGTGTGAAAGACTCTTTCCTGGTAAAATGTAAAATCATTAGATCTACAGGGACGATCCAGGGAGTTTTAAATACCTGGGGATGAAAATCTTGGGATACTGGCTATGACAGATCAGCTCTGAAAAGATTGACGCACATATAAAAGCCTGCTCCAGCTACAGGCAGAAGAATATGTGTTTTCCCAGTCTGCTGCTGATGTAATCTTAGGACATAGGACACCAAAAGTACCCAAGTGTAGGACCTCTTTCTGCTCAGTGTTTAGAGAAGTGAGCTTTGGCCAAGTGTGTATTTCTCCTAAAGTGTTCTGACGACCTATTCTGTCTTATCCAAATTAAAATGCCATTTGTTCATAGTTGTTTTCTATTACCAATTATAAATTTGACACATCCTCATTTTAGAAAACATGTGATCAAAGAAAACTCTTAACAAAAACAGAAAACAATCACCTTTACACTCATTACTGAGAGATAAGCTTTGTTTTCATTTTGTTGTATTTACTTTTAATGTTTGTCTCAACATATTATATATTTTTTACATAGTACCATATCTATGATATTATAGCTTGCTTGTTTTTTTAACAAACTCTGTAACACATCATGAACATTTTCTTAAGTTCGTTTCCCATAAAGCCCATGTTTGTAATTTTTCCATTTACCTATATTAATGTATTAAAGGTTTTTAAATTCTAGTTGGACTCTGTTATCAACAACCAACATAAATTACAATGTCCTATTCAAAAGATATCCTGAAGACAATTGGGTTTTAACCAAAAATAAAACTTTAAAAACTTTTACTTATTTATTTATTTATTGTTTTGGTCTTTTTCTTTCTTTTTCTCTCTCTTTTTTCTTTTGAGACAGGGTCTCACTACGTAGCCCATGCAAAGCTTGAACTCATAATCCGCCTGCCTCAGCTTCCCAAGTGCTAGGATTGCAGACACGCACCACCACAGCCAACCATTTATTAATTTTTTTAGTGCTGCAAATTGAACCCAGGGCCTTGCACATGCTAGGCACATATTCTACCACTGAGCTATACCCCTAGGGCAAGAAAATGGCTTATTATGGAAAGTTTCAAACAGAAGCATGGGATAACTATGACTTTGGATTTGCAAGACAAAGGAAACCAGAAATGATGAATAGTGGCAACAGAGGTTAAACTATGAAGTTTTCTGTTTTATTGTTAGCTACCATTTTTGTCTTAGAACTCAAAGCAGCTAGTTCTATAGGAACATATTATGATACTAATAATGGAAATAACCAACTTTTATTGCTAAATGATGTATCAGATACACAAATTTATATATATTTTATTCTCAAGACAACCTGTGATTATGAACATAACTATTCTTCTGCCTTACAGAAGGTAAAGCACAGAGAGGTTACATAGTGTATGCAAAGTAATGCAACAAAGAGTAGTGGAGCTATAATTCAAATCTAACTTTAGAGCCAACTCTTTGACCGTACTATGTATCATGTGTTCTATATTATGTAAAATAGGGTGGCCTTAAAAATTGAAATGTATTTTATTTGTCCTTTTTATATACATATCTAATTCATTGGAGATTCCTAGTAATTACTCCTTTATAGTCTTTAATCCTTAAATTGAAATGGTAGTTTACTTGAAGACCCTTTAGGTATTTCTCTCAAATTTAGTTATGCATTTGCATAATTCTCTATAATGTCTGTTGCATTGGGCAAAAATGTAATGACACACTCCTGTCCAAAGCCTATTCTTTGAATGAACATCTCAGAAAGTTGCCCTAGTGCAAGTTTTAGAACATGAGGAGAGAAATGGTAAATCCTAGAACATGTAACATTGGAAAAGGGAGCAGATTTCTTAGGGGTCAAAAGGTAAAAATAGGTGGGCATAGTAATACACACCTGTAATCCCAGTACTCAGGAGACTGAGTCAAGAGGAGTATGAGTTTGATTCCAGCCTGAGCTACAGAACAAGTTCCAGCCAGTCTGAGCAATATAGGGAGATACTGTCTAAAAAAAAAAAACAAAACAAAAAGGTAAAAATAGATATTATTGTAGAGAGTGATTTATTGTATCACCAATGAAAGATTATGACTATTTATCAATATCATTAACTCTGACAGTATTTTTTGTTAAATTATTTGTTTTGTATGAAATCATCATCTATGGCCAGTGAATGTCTATTTTTATTGGCTCAGATTATTTCTAAACCACTGTATATGAGCATTCCAACTCATCTTTGGATTGGAGCCCTACACCTTAAGGTTGGGTGTGGAGAGAGGCACCCATTAAACAGTATTGACTTTGGTCTGGCATTAACTGTTACTACTCAATGAATTGTATATATGTGATTGTCTCAAAGTCTAATTATGTTCACAGAGGCTGTAGGAATATGGATAAAAAGTAACGGGGTGTGAGTTAAGGATGAAGTTTGGAAATAGGTAAAGGATTTGGAGAGAGTGCTGTGTGTTAGGGAGCAGGTATCAGAGGAGAAAATGTCTTCATAAAGGTGAGAGAGGTTGTTGTGACTCGAGGGAACTTTTTACTCTGATGAAATGAAATGTAATTTACATTAAAAATATTTTTAAGGCTAACTGAAATGACCACTGTCAGTTTTAGAAAAAGTAACATAGAAGTTGATTTAGAAGTGAGGAGAAAGCCTGAGTGTTTCTACAAAACGGTTTTTCTCCTATTATTCATATCCATCTTCCCTCCCCGGGGTTGGAGCTCCATGAAAGATTTCTAACTTGGCTCAATACCATCTCCCTGCAGGCACCTGTGTTGCTAGCAGAGTCTCTTAATTCCTTTTGCACTCATTTTTCTAAGTCAGATTTTTCAGCTCATTTCTTCCTTCCTAAAAAAAAGGGATCCCTTTTTTATCCTGCCTTAATCTTTTTGTTTTCCACAATGAATGTGCCAACAACAGGGGGAACAAAAGGACAGTTCTAAGGACAGCTATAAGAAAGTATTTAGAAAATTTAAAATATGGTGGTTTTTCAGGACAACAAATATTTCCCTAATATTGTAGTCCCCCTTGAATCTGAACAGTATTGATCAAAAATTGCTTATACTCTGTAATTGTATTTAAGATTTCTCATCTCCTTTTCTATATTTCTCTATAAGGAACGTAATTCTTAATATTCATATAATTCAAACAGTGCATAACATGGTAGAGAAGTTATATTTCTTAACATGTCTCTTAAAGATGCTTTATTTGTAAGAAAAACCCCACAGATTATTATATTGTGCGTTACAATATTGTGAATTCCTTTTTTAAGTAAAAAAATCTCAGTTCTCATTAATTATGGAATTTAGTTTACCTAAAATGTAGGTTTTTGCATAGTGAATGCATTCTGCTTTATCTACTTTAAAAAAATGATAGGACCTTTACTTAACCTAACCTTTAATTGATAGATTTTTCTCAAATTCCATTGCATATATTTGAGTATTACAGGACTACTTAAAATTGTTTCTTTTGTGGGCCAGGGAGTACAAAAATAGCTGTTATACTGTCAGAGTGACTCAGTGTATATTTATTGCAGCAGGAAAGATGAACACAGGGGTTAATCTGTTTTTGCTTATCTTGGATATCCAGTGTCCTTATTGATTCTCAAAACTGCATTATTGTACAGCATCTTGGCTCTTTGTATAAAACAAGAGAAAGCAGTAAAGATGAAAAGAAGACCCTGCTTTGAAGTGCTGTGAGTTCTACTGCACGCATTAGTGCTAAACTCGGCTCCACTGCATCAGTGATGTGTCTTATGAAGTAGAGATCTGTCTGTTGTTCAAGCAGCTTTTCACTTTCTCTTTTTGTTTTGGAGGCTGCCTTTGAGATAAAAGGCAAGAAGCAGGCACTGTTGCCAGTAATCTATACTAAGGAATTTCTATCTCATCTTCCCTTTATTTTTTAATATCACCTGAGCAGTAGCATTTCTTTTCCAAGATGCCTTTTCATTTACAACTTTACCTCACATTTGACAAACATGCTTTCTATCTTGAATTCTCACTTCTGTGGCTTTTGCAGAAACTCTTGGATAGATAGGCTCTTGGATAATACTGAGTCACCTAGACTGGCATTGAGTCATATGGCCTGGGAAGATGATTTTAGGAAGGATTTTTTTAAAAGGATCTATTTATATAAGTTGTCACTTAAGTTCCTAATTTTATCATCGCATTTCCAATCTGTTTCAGGCCTGTTTCTTAGTGGTGGAGATGAGGAGGATTCCAAGTAAGGAAACTCAGTGATGTGCATTTTAAGGTTGGCTGATGGGCAGTGCCATTCATTCAGAGACCCCCAGCTAGTCTTGGGAAGGTCTTTCGTTGCCATGGTAACTGTTTTTTTTAAACATACCTTTAAATGATAATTTACATACCATAAACTGAGGTGGGTTTTTGTTTTCTCAGGGAACATAGATTCTTTTTTTATTTTTCCCAGTGCTGGAGATAAATCCAGACCTTGGCACCTGCTGAGCATGTCCTCTGCCACTGAGCTACAGCCCTGGCCATGGGAGCATAGATTCTCTAACAGAATCTGTATTCATAAAAGTGTGTAAAATGATCATGACTAATGAGGAAGTAATGGGGATGTTAGGCAAATGCAAATACCCATGTGTTAAAATCTGTAGCTGCATTTTTCTTCCTGCACTGTCAGGAGATTTGACTTAAG